CCCCAAATCCCACCAGCCCCCTCTACCTTATAAAAAATGAACGGTCCCTAACTGTTTCCCTCGGGACCATACATTAAGTGTATATTGAACTTTGGCCAGGGGCTCACCAGTACAGACAAGCCGTCCCGCTCCAAAAGGGAAGAAATTGCCCTGGTTGGTGATTAACTTACTATTGTCGTCGATAAGGCGGTAAGGGTTAAACATGGTTGGGTTTTCTCAGCATTTGGGATCCAGATGAACAGATTCCGTGTCAGCATACACGATGTATCCCTAGGAACGTGGTAGCCACAGAATGTCGTATCTGTAAGAGTGAAGCGAGGTGTCGCAAGAGGCACCACGTTTCCAACTCGTGGTTTCGTGGCCCCCCAAAAACATGTCCTCGATGGTATTGACCATCATGTACAGGTTCTTCTGGGTTAAACGTTTTTTTTTGCCCCCCCTAAAAATTTGGGAATAATGTCAAAAATCCCTAACACTGGCTGGAGGAGGCGATCATAAGCCTTAATAGGCAGGTACTTTGCTATAGAAAAAAATCTAAAACATTTACCAACTGATTATCATAGGTACTTGCCGCAAAGTTTACGTTAAGTTTGAAAAGCTTGGTCAAATCTGGGTTCGTTGTGTCGTAGCCTTCTCCAAAGGTGATTCCACAAATGACATCAGCAACGGCACGTTGCAAGCAGTCTGCGGGATTAAAAGGCTTTCCATCTTGTCTTCCATGAAATGCACCAGTTTCTCAGCCTGTGTTGAGACACGCCCTGATATCAGAGGGATATCAGAGAGAGATTGGCGCACGGCTGTTGTAAAGAGCTTGCGATGAAACCTCCAGACGGGCCCATAGTCACCAAACACCAGCCCTTTGCCTCCTTCTATGTTACACTTATCAACTCTACAATATTACAGTAGTACGATTGACAAAACCGCACTTGTGCTATTCCCTGGGTAGTAATACTATGCAAACTCTATTTGCATTGGTAATTAATACCCTGGGGATTAGTATAGGTAATCATACGGTTTCGAGTTCAATTTGGAATTAATTTGCACGAGTGAGTTTTTCAAA